AATATTTTTGTCGAAAATTTTTAATCTCTGTCCTTTCCACGTTTCAAACCGATCGGTCAAGTTCCAATAAACTAAGTTGAGACCTTCGTATGTTCTAGACATTTCAATTTCCAGATTTACTTAGTACATGTTTGTAGAAGCACCGACATGTTCGTAACATGTTCGTTGTACCAAAACGCGACGTCGTCATCGTAGTACGCAAGAGAGGAAACGCGACGGTGATTCATAGCGTAGAATTGAAAGAACGCATTACGTCGGACTGGAAAGCGAGCCTAGACGCATTCATAAAACTATATCAAGCAACATGTAACATGTCACGCAAGAAACTCGGAAGATATAATTTTCACAGTAACGCGAAACGACCTTACTGCATAAACTGTTACACAAAATTTCCTCATGTACTAATTTGTTAATCAGCAAATCCACGATTGGATGAACTTTTACAAGTGTAAATATATTAACTCGAACGTTAAACTTGCTTATAACACACGTTTAGTATTACATGAATTCGATTAGCACAATGTTCTTTCGCGAACCGAACTATTTTTTCGCCTAAAGAAATCGCAAATAAATCATGTCATTTTCGCCAAGCGAACGTATTTTCGGTGAAGATAACAGCGCAGAGCAGAAGTGATCATTTATAAAAATTAAAAGCTTCGTTTTTTCCTAAATTAATTTTCGAACGAGAATAAAAAACAAGTAAAGCACGAAGACTGATGCATCGGGAGATTTCCTGGGGGAGATGTTCACGATGCGTTCATAGGAAAGATAATTAAAAATACATCGTGGTGCACGAGAGGAGGTTCCTACATAAAAATAGCGCGTAAATTAAATACGTTACGTGATCATACTGCGCCGCAAAAGTTTCTCGGCGATGCGCAGCGGGTTCCGGTAATAAAGAGCGTCCACCAATCTTGTTTTTAACGACAGATACCGCGGCTAATCTTTAAATATTTGAATTCTTAGATAACCATCTCAAACAATAGAAATATCGTGAAGAAATAATTCGAGAGATATCAGTAAAAATAGTTGGAAATTAGAGATAAATAACGATGGCAGGTTTAACGTACGCGATTAGCGATATCGAAATCGTTTCCGTTTATAGTTTCGGAATATATTTCGCAAGTTCGAAACGACAGGTTTCGACGAATTGTAACAGCAGTATTTATCGTTGAAAAGAAGCGAGGCTGGCAAGAAACACCCTGTATAATGTGCGCATAATCCGGTATAGAGCGAGCGGGTACGATCGCGTGGTGCGATGACTCATTGCTTTAAAGCCGGTCGAAAAACCCACGATCGCTCTTAGGGCCGCTTAATCCTGAGAAATATAGACAATCTCTCTCCTTTCTCTCTGCTGAAATACCTCCTTATAAATATTAAAGAATTACAAGAACTTTGTACAAACGTTTACAAAATGTCTCAATATTTTCAACCTAGTCACTTATTTTTCCCGATATTTTTTATTTATCCTCCTTAATTATTATTTATCCTCCTTATTTCTTACTTCAACGACAAGTTTGTAAAATACTAAATTTATAGAATATCTATATGCGTACAATTTTTATATAAT